CAACTTTATTTGCACTTTTTTTTTTCTTTATTTCAATCAATTTCTCAGCCGTATATCTGCCCGAAACGGATTGCACCGGCTAGCACACTGCAAAATTAATATTTTTAAATAAAAAAATATAAAATTGACAACTTTATTTGCACTTTTTTTTTTCTTTATTTCAATCAATTTCTCAGCCGTATATCTGCCCGAAACGGATTGCACCGGCTAGCACACTGCAAAACTTAATTTTATTATTATTATTATTATTATTTGCTTTCTTCCGTTTCACCATTTTCTGCACCCTATTCAACGAAAATAAATACGATAGCAATCCTTAAACCCCACTCCTCCCCATTCACAATCCAAGCCCAGTAATTGCTACCGGTCAAATATTAGCTAAGAATGGAAGCATATGTTAGAACTCTCTTCTCATAAAATTATAGCGGTGACAGAATTTTTTATTAAGCATACTGTTCATATGTACTCTTTGCATGGTGTTAAAATTGTTGATAGGTAGTTGGTGTTGGACTTGCGATAGAAATGTCATTACAAAATACAAATTTAGAAAAAGTGCAAATTAGACTTTACATCGTTCCAAATGTTGGAAAAAAAAAAAGAAAAAAGAAAAAAGAAAAAAAGACAATAGTCTTTAACTTTCTCAGATCAGTTCTTGAAACTAAAAATTATTGCTGAAGAATCCTTAAAATTTTTTCTTGTCACAGCATAGTACTTAAAGTCTCAGTAGAAAGTCTAGCTCCCATAAATGAATGGAGAGAGTCAAAAATCTTGATTCTTTCACTTTCTTAGTATATATATATATATATGAATGCAATGTGTTCTTGTTAGATGAAGAAGGCTGATCTTGGCTTCGTGATGTTGAAGAAAACTTGGGAGAAAGAGAAAGAGGGAATTTAATCGGGGTTTGGGTTTTAGTATGTCGAAATATTTCACTGATATCTGTTTCTTTTGGGCAGTTCACTGGTTGCTTTGACTACGCGTGTTGAAAACAGAAGCCAATGGGCACTGCTTGTGTTAGATTTCATGAGAGGGGGAATTGATGGAGAAACGATCATGAAGATAGAGATCTTGCCTCGGGCACAGATAGACCTTATCCCCAGCACCATATTTCGCAATGACAATGAAGACAATCCTGTTTTTGTGTATGCTCATACTGATGGAATGGACACACAATTTTGGACTCCTTTAGACCCAAATATGATCAAGTATAATGCTAAGGTTTTTCTGGGATTTGTGGGCTTTCGGAAGCCAATTGAAACTGCATTTTTTGGTGGATCTAAGTTTGGAAGGCTGAGGTCCCTTTCCTTGCTCTGATTTTGTTCTTTAAGAATTCTATTTTCCTAAATTGCTATTGGATTACATACACACACATATATATATGGCTTTGCTAAATTGCTCTTTATATCTGGTTTTTGCAGGGTTGTTGTTGAGGTGAAAAATGCTGTGAAGAAGATGATGGATAAAATCATGGGCAGAAACTGATGATTTTGTAAGTCCTGTATTTTCTTTTTTGCCAGGATTGAGAGGTTTACAAATAAACAGGTTTATATTTTATACAAACATTGTTATACTAAATTTGACATAATTATTGCGTGTATAAACTTTACTTCTATTGTTAGATTTTCTTTAGTTTAACATGCATATAATATTCTGTTCTTGGCTCTTTGCTCTTTGACATAATTATGGCATCAAGTAGTATTGATTCTTCGTATCCTAGAATGTTCATGTAGGGTGTTTTCTATACATGTTGTGCTGATTAATTTAACATATTAGTATTGTTAATTCAAATATCTTCATAATTCCATAAAAAAAATATCTTCATAATTTAAATTGCAGCTAACCTGTTCATAAATTGTAGTGCCATACTCGTTATTCTTTCCATCACATATCTGAAACGGGAGACTTCATGAAACATGTAATCCCACTCCAAGCATTATCTCCAAATAGTGATACTGGGAATCAATAACGCTTTGTCAAATTCCCAAAACAACTACTTCAAAATTAATTTCAAGATTACAAAGATCTTCGATGTTCATTCAATTCAAAGAACTGAAATTAAACACAACAATGAGGGAGCTACAGTAGCATAATGACTATAAGATCAGCCAATATCATGTAGGTAAGCATTACCATTCTCAGGTAAGCAAAAAAATAGTTACAGGGTGAAGGGACAGACTGCTGGCAAAAATCAGAAAGGTATAGTCTAATGTTTACCAAAATCAATGACCCTGAAAATGTGAACAAAATTTATTCAGAGAGTGAATCGTCTTGGATACTTTGCATCTTGCATATTACTTTGCTGGAGCTTCCTCTTTTCTGTGCTGCAAATAATTTGCTAGATTTTCTCTCATGTTTTTGTCCACTAGATCAACTTGCTAAGAGCATTGCTCTTCATAACCAAGGTCATGACAACCTGATAAAGCAACATCAGGATGTAACTGATCTCCACAGTCAAGTATAACATTGTGAAGTAAACAGCATACCAAAATTATACTGGGCAATTTAAGTCTATCAGGTCTCCACAAGACATTGTTAAGAATTCTCCAACTACCCTTTAACTGCAAATATGCCCTAGATGCAAGAGTTCTTGAACCTCCATGTATCGAATTAAAAGCATTAGTGGAAAGACTATTTGTCTTATACGGAGTTATTAGCCAATGAAGAGGAGGATATGCAACCCCCCAACAATGAATTCTCTTATCCCCACTCCTTCAGACAAAGTTCTTGTATTTCCATTCAAACACTCCCCAGCCTCACACAATCTGAAAAATCTCGAGCATTTCAACAATCTAGACACAGTCATGCCCCCAGGCCAACCAGTTACAATATCTAGAAATCTCATTTCATGGTCAACAATACCCTGTAAGAACGTGCTGTAGTTGTTCTCTTGGTCACACCAATCATCTGAAGTTTGAACTGTTGGAAGGCTCATAATGATATGCGTGGCATCTAGAGCACCACAATAATTAGGCAATCCTAACAATTCTTCAAATTTGGATTTAATTTCCTCCATTCTATTGGAATCCGGCCACTTGAGATGATGCTTGGAACATTCTTCCAATGCTTCAATGAATCTCCATGTCACCTGAGAAACTGTGGATTGGCCAACCCCAAAGGCAGCTCCAACCAAGACTTGAGAGTCACCAGATGCTAACGTTCTAAGGGCTATGGCAACCTGCTTCTCAACACTGACGAAATACTTCGAGGGAATCGAAACCCTGAAGAAATACTTGAAACCTTCTTCCTCGTTCGAGGGAATCGAAAGTCCTACAAATTTGAACCACAATATCAATGTAATCAAAATCTGACACTTTATTCCTCGCAAATGTATCAGTAAAATGTAACAATTTATATCAATAATTTCTTCAATCACCATGTATAAGGATTATAACCCCAGAAAAATATTTTAACTACGGTATCAATATCCAAAATTTTTTCCCTATGCCATTCAATTTTCTGGTTCTATTCAATTCAGATCCTCTAAACACTTGCTTTACCCATGCAAGCACAGAGAATTTGTTTTCTATTTCAAAATAGGGAATTTACCTAAAACTACAAAAACCCATAGATTTTAATCTCATGAAATTGCAGATATTTCTCTGACAACATGGGAAAAAAAATTGAAATACTAAAGTGTAAAGTAGACAAATGGGAACCTGGGGTTGTAGGTTCTTGTGCCAGAAACCATCCCACCAGTCCGATTCAATGGTTCTGGGTTCTGAAGGAACTACGCCTATGCTCTTGGGTTTCTTTAATTTCTTCGATATTTTCTTTGTCTTCTTCAATTGCTTGGAAGTAGCCACTAGAATCTATACTACCTCGATCTTCCGCCGTTTTCACTGATTCAAGATTTTTGCAGCAGCTCGATGACTAGCAAAATTTGCTAAGGAAAATGTTGATTTGAGCTCATTTTCCCTCTCAAACTTCGTGTTTTCTTTCTTTTTGAAAGGAAAAATAAAATCCAAACTCCGAAGTATGTGTTTGACGAGAGAGAAAGTGAAGGAAAAAAGACAGAAACGCTAAATTGTATTTTCAGTCCATGAGCTATTGGTACAGTAGTGATTTGGTCTGTAACGTTCATTTTCTCCTATTTTTTCTAGAAAGTTATAATTCCATATCATTTTGGCCCTATATGCCGTTAGGAAAGTGGAAGGTCCACATAATGTAATCTAACACCACAAACCATGTCACGTGCTATTGAACAAGTTATGGATCACCCTTTCCCTAAAAAGAGTTAATTATATAATATATTAAGTCAGATTTTAAGGTTATTATATTTAAAATTATTTTATAACTATTATTTTTAATTAAATCATCATATATTTATTTACGCACATTTTTTTGAATAAAAAAAATAAATTACAAAATGAAGGTTACGTTATATAAACACTACATATCAAAACATAGGAACTTATCATCCTCGATACAGAATCAATATGCAACATTCATACTTTTGTAGAGGAAAATTCCTCCAATTCCATTTCTAATTCAACTCATCTCCAACTAATTTGCTCGATAATTAAGCTAGTAATCCTGATTTTCAGATGCTAAAACCAGAATAATTTAATTTACCCAAATTTCAAAGGAAATAAAATAAGAAAGAAAAAAAAAAAAAAAGAGAAGTCGTTGTATATGGTATATTACATCAAAAATAGCTTAGACATTGTTCCATGGCTCTGGTTCATCTTTAGCAGGGTTATGTTTGTGTGAATGAAGCCTGAAATTGCATGCTGCAACAGCTTCTCCCACTGTTAAATTTATCCATTCTTGGCCTATATTTTCAATGAAGTTAGACATGTTCAATTTCTTCATCACTTCAGCTCCAGGGTTGGCTACTACAAGCTACAAAACACAAGAAACAGATCGAATTAGATTCAAAACGAACTTTTCGAACTCAGATTGCAATTTCTCTGCAATGAATAGGCTGGTTAATTACAACATTATGTAGAACAATTTTGGTACCTTGAGCCCCCTCCTATCAGTAGTCTTGTTGACCTCTTCAAGCATGCTTATCCCACTTGTGTCAATGTTACCAACAGCTTTGAACCAAAAAAAATATAATGCATGTCAGATAGGTAAAGTAGTCTGCTAGATTTTCTAGAACAATATAGCAGGAAAAGAACAACATACCACCCATGTCCAGTATAATGTACTGTAAGCTTGTTTCTCCAGATGATTTCAGCTTGTCTTCCTCTTCATCGATCCACCTTGAGATCCTAATAAGAGTAAGCAGAATATTTGGTCAATGGAGTAAAGGGTATACTGTTTTTGATGCGGTAATGAGGTATTGGAACTTTGTTAGTACCTTTCTCTTAAGTAGCTTGCATTGGCAAAGTAAATTGGAGCATCAATTTCAAGTATGATAATTCCAGGAATGCTGTTTGCATTAGGGTACTGATCAACATTTCTGTATATCATGGAATTTGGAATGTTTCCAAGGACAAAAGTCCTTGGCCTCGCAACAAACAGAAGCACCCTGAGCAATGAAATCACAACCTGCAGCCGAGACAGATAATGAATTGTTGTTACTGCTTAAACAACTATGCCTTTTTGTTGATTCAGATAAATGGAATTGATAAATTCTCATACCGCTATAACCAGGCCTATCTCCACACTTCCAAAAACAACACCTACATAGGCACCCATACAGACGATGAAATCGAATTTGTCGACTTTCCAGAGATGTATGGCAGCTTCATAGTCAATGAGACCAAGCATTGCAGCTATTATGATGGAGGAAAGAACCACTAGAGGAGTGTAATCGAACAATGGTGTTAAGAACAGCAGAGTGATCATAACTGCCGTTGCCATGATTATTTGACAGTGCAGTCTTGCATTCAGTATTGAAGTTCACAGCTGACCTTGAAAATGGCCCTGAAAATTTCATCCCAATGTTGCACAAATTATAATCAAAACTAGGAGATTAATCTAGCAACTGAGAACAATGCTCTTAATCAGGAATTGCGGATCCAATCTGAGCAGTTTACATCACTCCAGCACAGAGCACAAAAACCTCTGGAGGACATAGAGAAGAAGTTTTGGGTACTGAAATAGAGAAACTGTATGGGCAACTATTTGACTTGAAAAGGGTATACCAGAATTTACAGGAAGAAAATTGCAAGGTGCTTGATGAGAGAAGGTCCTTGAGGAAGGAAGTCTTTGACTTATGTGAAGAGAAGCGTAATCTAGAAGAACAAAACTCTCTTCTCCTCTCTGAAATGGTATCTCAAAGTAACATTTCTCTAATTTTCAAAAATATTATGATTGACAATTTTGAGGAAGTAAAGCAGCTCAGTTATGATCTGTGTAAACTCAACTGTGTCAATGATGGCCTTGAGTAGAATTTAAGGAAAATGGAGAGGAAGCTTGAGGATATGTAGATGGAAAACTCACATCTCAAAGATACACTGCGAAGCTTGGAGAATGAGCTGATTTTGGTCCTACCAACCCAAGTATGTTTTAGTTGTGGCACATATGAGCACCCGGAGATCAATTAGCATGCATCTGGTTCGGTGCCGTATAGAGGTTAATTTGTAGTTGCAGTTTATTTTGCTGGTTACTATTTTTGTAGAATCTGCAGAACCTTTTTAGCCAAACACTGTGTTCTATCCTCTCTTGTCTTTCTTGACTTTACCTTTTTTTTTTGGTCAGATCCTTAGCCCTTGCAGTTTGAACTTGTGTAGTCTTTCTGGCTTGGTCATTTAAGAAAACTACTCATTTTCTTATGAAAATATGTTTAGAAATTTGTTTTGTTAATGTTAGGCTCCAAATCATGGTTGATTGTCAAAATTCTGTGATCCTTTAGGTTGTTTTATTAGCTGTTGCCTTTATGTTACATTATTTTACTTCTTGAGCTTCTTGACTGCTTTTAATATCCAG